AAGATAAGTCATCCAGGTCATAGTCATCATTCAAAAAAAATAAAAAAAACTATCCACTGGACTTTGTTTCCAAGTTTCAAGATGTTTCGCTTCCCATCCAGGAAGCTTTTCAATAAATAATAATAAAAAAAAATATTCAAATTTATTGTACAATCTTCAAACTTGAAAACAATGTCTAGCGGATTGTATTTTTAACTTTTTTGGAAAAACTTTTCTACTGTACTCAAAGCCTACAAGACTCCCAGAAAGTCATCTACTTCCATTACTACATAAGAGAAGCTGTACAATATCTGTCAGTAAACTCAGGAGAATGTCAGTTAAGCTTTTTTGTGCTGTCTGCTCTCACCAACTGTGAATAGGTATGAAGCAGGAGGCGATGGTGGTGACAGTGTTTGTAATGAGCTGTACGCACAAGCAAATTCTGTGAAACGGTGACCCCTAGCGGCTGTTAAAGGGTACTGACCCGTAGACCTGAAACTGGGGGCCAAGAACAGCAGATTTATTTTATGACCCCAAGCTAAACTGAAGGCTATGTTTCTAGTCACAGTGCAACTTATCACAGTCTCTTCAAATCTGCTTATATATGAAGTATATTTTCATGATCTGACCTGATAGCTGACCTTAATTACTCATGCCTTTCACCTGCTTAACTCTGTCCAGCTCCTAATTATCACTCATCCCATCAACCTGCCGGTTTCCCTTATATTGGGCTCAGTTCCAGCTATCATGACCAGATCATTGTTTGTTTGATTTCTGTTTGTGTCCTGTCTGTCAGTTTCGTTGGTTAGATCTATTTCCAGGGTTCATGTTTAAGTAAGGAGTTTATTTTTGAGCCCATGCTAGTTTAATCCTTAGCCAGTGGTGAGAGCATTTCAGCGTTTCCTGAGTGATTCTGGTTTCCTGATTCCATTCCCTCTCACAGTGGCCCTGTCTGGCCTGCTCGCCTGAACCTCTGTTAGACTCCTGCTGAATTCTGCCTCCTAACTGCGTTTCTATCTGAGCTGGATGCTCGAATCACTGGACCCTCCTGTATCGTTTTCTTGACATGTATATGAACAAACTTTCCTGGGGGTTCAAGTTTAAACATATCCAGGACAACATTAATGTTCAATCTGCCTGATGATTTGTTAATGTTTGGAATGTTTTTTTTTTGTTTTTTCTTTTTCTTCTCTTTTTCATTCCAAATAAATAAAGTTAAAAACAATCCAATGGACTATTTTTCCAAGTTTGAAGACGTTTCGCTTCCCAGCCAGGAAGCTTTTTCAATTCAAAATATCACAAATAACATTGAGTTTGAGGATTTATACAGTAGCCCATTAAAACCTTGTTTTTGTTTTGAAAACATGCAAATTGAAACAGAGGTTGGGGCCACCCATTCGAAATTGGGGTCATTCGGCTTCCTTTGTTAGCCTGCAATGCCCTATACTGTACCTGTCTAAGTCTCTCTGAGAGGGGGGTCGTTAAAGGGAACTGTTGGCCTGGCTGAATAGGCGAGGCTAAAGTTCAAACCACCTGAACATTGTTTAAACCATCAAGTTCAAACTGTGAACATTTTGGACAAAGAAAATAGGTGGTTTGAAGGGGGCATGAAAGAAGCTATGTTAAGAAAGGAAAAAATAACATTAAGCAGAGGGGGTAGAGTGAGATTTCAGCTTTCAAAATCCTACAATCCAGCAATTGAGTTTATCCCTTCCTGCTATCAGCGCAACCCTAACCCCTGTACAGGAGAGCAGAGGACCTCGCTTTTTCAGCCAGGCCAACAACAAAAAAATAATTAAATATTTTAAATTAGATATCAAATTTAAACAAATATTAAAATCACAAATCTGTAAGTAATTTATTAAAAATGGACACATGTACATATTGATGGCACTAATGTAGCCCCGTAGCGAGACTGTTTTTAACCTAAATAATGCATTATGGACAATGAAAATATTTTTAAAATTCTTGTTTTATAATGACGGCATGTACAGGGTATTGGGTTGTGTTATTTTGTGTGAAGAAGTCAGAAACATTGATTTAGAAAAAAAACAAAACAAAGTAATGTTTTTTCTTCCTATAGGATCCCTGTTTTAGAAAGTAAATAAGTGAGAACTCAGCAGGTCTAGCATAAGTTACTCCCTGAACCAAGACTTGTCCATTGCAGGATTTGTTGAAGTTATTACCTGAACGTGTTGGATGTGTTTTTATTCTAGGGTAGCCTGTGAATGTTTAAGAGCAAAGAGCTACTCCGTGCGATTAGATGCTTTTTCATTTCTAGATTCATAGATCACCGTTTTCTGCCAAAGTCAATAATTAGACATTCTTTGCTTTTCACTTTGCACTTAAACTGTTACTGTTTAACACAGGTATTATATTTGCTATAGAGTAGTAGCCATTCAAAATTTCCCCACTTTCTTTGATGGCCCGTTGGCTGGTCCTTGGCTGTACCCCTAAAATTCCTTTTTAAACACCAATATTTGTACTAAAATATTATTTCTCTCATGATTTGTGGACATAGAAACCTAAAGAGAAGCAGCATCTCCTGGTCAGACCCTGTAATTCAGTGAAAGGGTAGAGTCAGAGTAAAAAAAAATATGCAAGAGGGCGTCACTCCAGTGGCTGGAAGTTAGAGAGGGTTTTGCTGGCTTCCGTAGTATACACTACTGTTTATGCTCTAAAAACATTCTAAATGACTTCGTTTCGAGTAAATTCTGGA